ATAATCAAAGATAAATTAATATTTTAAGATCAAAAAATTGCAAATTTTTATTTATTTTTATTTTCGAATCATTTTCTTACCTTCCTGTGTATAATTTGAAGGCACCCAACTACTAAATGTAGGAAATAAATCTTCTTTAAAGGATGTGGTCTCAAGTGGTCCTGATTGTGGCAATGTTTTTAACATGTTACTACTATCAATAATTAAAAAAATTAATGTATCAATATCTAGTAAATTTTGATATATATATATATATATATATATATATATATATATATATGAAGTATTAAAAATTTTTAAATGATTTACCAATCACAAAACTGAACTTTTCCATCATTAGAGCCAATAGCTAATTCATTTCCATGTTGCCAAATACCAGTAATCAGTTGCTTCGGTATATGTTTAATTATTACAAATTTTAGCGTCTATAATCAATCCAGTTTGGACTAAGATTTGTTATTATCATGCAAATAATTAAAATTCATTGATATATTATTTGAGATTGTACCATTGTAAATCTATCAGTTGATAATGTGCTATTATCACCTTGTTCTGTAGTAAAATTTTCACTTCCAATATCTCCCCCGTCTAATTTTTGTTGTGATTCTTTATTAGTTATAAGTTCCCACATTGTAATATCACTATCAAAACTCTCTACATTATTCTCTACTGTTTGATTTATTACAGAGGTGTTACAATTATTGATTTTTTTACGTTTTAAATTAAAACAAGCTTTTAATATATATTTACCAGTTTTATCAGCTGTTATTATTAAAAGTCTAATTGGATGAGTTGAGGTTCTTGGTAACAACTTTAAATGAATAAGTTGTGCATGCGGACTAAATATTTCATCTATGGGTGCAGTAAGCTGTACATTGCCGATTAAATGACAACAAACTTGTGACTTGAGCAAATCAATTGAAATATCATATATCAATGCAACTTTTGGTAAAATATCTGAACTATATATTGCCAGTATATAATGATTATATATAAATTTTTCATATATTAATATATTATATAATTAAATGTGCCTATACGTAAGAAGAAATAATTATATCAAAAATTTTATTTATACCATCATTAAGGATTATGTTAGCATGTGATATACGACAAGAAGGATACGGTAATCGAGCTGTGAAAGTTGAAAAGCTTTTTTTTGCTGGCTGATGATAAACAAATACCTATATTTATAAAACCAATTTATTAATTATTGTTAAAGTTCCCTTCTAAATATTAATCTTGTTTTTTCCAAGTCGTAATTACCTTGCCATCTGCAGTAACTGTTATGAAAGAATACTCGCCAAAATTATTGTTATAACCAAAATGTTTATTTCTTTTATATAATGTTTGACCAGTGGAACCATTTTGTGTAGATTTTGAAAACTATAATAAATAATAATTATTATTTGGTTATTACTATTGTTATATTAAGCCTTGTCCATAAACATACATCGATTTGATAATTAAGATTTTGGAATAAACTTACAGGTCTTAAATGATCAAGCCATGAAAATTCAATTATATTTTCTCCCAAATCAAAATCGCGAAAACATGTCCAACGATTTATATAACTAACCATAGTCCATATAAAAATTTTACCTCTTTGATCTATTGACGCAAGTGCTGATCCAGTCATATTCCAAACTATATCAGTTATAAATTCACTACAACGATGGTTTTTCTCGGAATTTGTAAGTGGAGAAAAATTATTTGGGTGAATAAATGACCAAGCCGGTCCAGTGATTTTACTATTGCCATCACTATTATTATTATTAGACGAAGATATACGAGCTGGATTAAATATCCCTATAATAGGTAATTCTTGTGAAGAAGTATCTGATGAATTTTCAAAGGTTTGACACCACGCAATTATGTTTAAAGGTGACCAAGCCAAGCGTCTATTTATAGTTATTAATAAACTTTAATAATAATAATTATTATTATATAATAAATAGTTTAAAACATTTACAAACCTAGGAGCTTTTTGATAACATAATTCATAATAGATTTGTTCAGTTTCTGCTGAGATTTTCGTAATAAAATCTCTCATTTTATTATTTTTACTAATTGAATTATTATAGAAACAAAAAAGTAAACATACTAACTGGTGCAAGCATAGTTAAAAATCCTTTTATGGATCGATCGTCGTTACACACATTTAATAAAAGAGGATCGACAATTTATATGTGAAGAGCATTGTAAAGTCAAAAAAGTTTCACTTAGTCAAAGAATTTCATCAAGGAATAAAAAGCACAAAAATCTTCTAATGGAACTAATGCCAACTCTACATTGAGTGAAGCTGATAAAATTGCAGAAAGATTGGCTGCTGCTAAGGGTGGGTTTTTAAAGTTAATATTTAATTAAATATTTAAATAATACTTTACTTTTATTATGCAGTAAAAGAAAGATGTCTTTTTCCTCCTGTGTATGCCTAGTTCCTATCATTATGATTACTGAGCCAAAATAGTACTGGAATAGGAATAGTGGATGATGATACACGAATAGATGATTTGAAAGATCAAGATCAGTGAAAGATAATGGTAAGTAATGTTACCTTATGATATAATGGTACTTTTTTTTTTAAAAAAAGTAATCAATTCTATTAATGTATTTACTAAAAAAAAGTAATTAATTCTACCCAAATCACATAATCTTTTCCTAAAAAGTCTTGTCAATTTCTTTAACAAAAAAAATTAGTAATATGATAATCAACAATCAATATATTTTTTATTTGGCTATATAATCAACTATACATGAAGTCGAAATTAAAACCCCAAAGTCAAAATGTTCCAACTTGAGGCAACTACATAGTAAAAATCAGTTTTGACCTTATTTCAACCCTATTTCAACCAGATCTGCAAATGGTTGAAACAGTTTTGACTTCATGTATATAATGAACTGTTTTTCAAATAAAAAAAAATTGGAGAGTAGAAGCTCATTGCTACAATATTATTGCAAAGAACTCTTTTAATAAACAGAATATGACTCAAAATTCGCTTAATTAGGTGAAAATGTTGATTGTACCAAAACCAAACAGAACACAAAAAGAAATTAATTTGCAAAATTATGGAATTTAGAAAAAGACAGTAACACAGCAAATTTTCTTTCTTTTATGTGTTAATAAACACACTGTTCTTGGGGAAATTCTTGCTCATATGGTGCAAGTCACTTAGTCACTGAACTTTTTGTGCCATGATGCCAATTTTGAGGAAAAATATTCCAATCAGAAATGCAATAAAAAATTTACAGTCACGTGTTTTTTGAAGATTGTCAAGGGCAGAATTTTATCCAAATATATTTTGAGAATATGTATATGACACCAAAGAATATTTATGAAGACTTAGAATGGTCCAAGAGAATGTTTTTACATAAAAATGTGGAATGATTGTTTTATATGTTTCAAGTTTAATAATAAACTATTGTCTTGATCAAAGTGATGTGATTTTTGCTCTTTGTAATGAAGACACAATCCAAACCAACTTAATTTTAATGTCAACATGATGCTAAAATAGATAAAATTTTGATATTGCATAGCATGGCATGCATTCATTATTATTATTATCACGTGATAAAGATCAGCCATAAAAAATTCGAAAATTTCAATTCTTCCAATTTGTTCATTTTTAATATATATTTTTTTCGCGTAACACGCCATTTGGGGGGTTAACATGGTAAATTCGTGAACTTTGATGCATCGTTCCTCTATGGTAACGTTACATATCAATGAAATGAAATCATTGGATTGTAGGGAAAGGTCTTAGCTTTAATTCTATGATTTGTTTTTTTGGTCATACATTTCCATTTTTGGAGGAGATCAAGGATCTACACAGCCAATAAAAAGTTCAGCAACTAAGTGACTTGCACTATATTAATAACTTGGAGTTATTAAGTGTAGGTTAAAAATTCCCATCATTAGTTGTAGATGTTTTAACAAGCATTTAGGGTTTCTACTCACCAATAAAAAATCAGTGACTATAACAAGAAAACAGCTCATCAAAGGAATAACAAGCAGTTACAGCTCCTTGTTATAGAATGACATGAAATTTTGTCATATAGAAACCCTTATCTTGATACAGTAGTACTAAAAAACTCAAAAAAAAAATGAAAAGATACTTTCTTTAACAGCAGCCAAGAAGCTTTCGGCTTCCCTAATCTGTTTATCATCTGAACATGTAGTCATAATCATATGGAAGCTTTTTTCATTGGATTCCCTTTATTATTGCTGACCCATTTCTTATAGAACTGAAAATGACCCAATATTCAATGGCTGTTTTGTCAAAATAAATGTACCATGAACTTGCCATGATATTTGGGATAACCAGAAACTGATAATTGGAATAAGACGCGATAAAGAGAAGTAAAAAGATATATATATATGAGAACAAATTTCAACATCATATGTATGGATTTTTCACTGATCAATATATGTAAGAAATTTTAATATAAAAATTTCAAACTCTAGATTTATCCACCATTCAAAATTGGCATATGAATACATTATAATATACACGTACTTCAAAACAATGGTTTTACTTTTTCGATTTTTTGTATATAAAAAAATTTTATGTTCAAAAAAATCTACAATATAGATCTTTCGATTGTTTATTTTTTTTGTGCAAATTTAATTGGTCGAATTTTTAAACACGTATTAAAAAGAAAGCTTCAAAACTTATTAAAATAAAAATAAAAAAAAAATAAATGAATGAAAAATGTTAAATAAAAAATATGAGGTTAGTTAATTATATTTTTTGTAAATATTTTGGTGAAATTATGCGTCATTTTATTGCAAGTAACTATTAATTTTCAAATGAAAATTGTTCTGAAAACCTCCATTTTTGAAGTAGAATTATGTATTTCACGTAAAATACACTTTATTTAATAAAACAATGAACTGGTTACAAATAATATAATATAATTACGATTGTACCAATAATGGTTATTTTTATTTACTATATATATTATTTATAATATAGCAAGCATTAAAGGTTATTGGTAAGATGAAAAAGGATGAATTGTTATATCACGCGAAAAGGTTAAATTCACATTTAAATGCAAACATCAAAATTGCAAAAAGTTATAAAAAGTCAGTTATAAATAATAACTTAGTATCATACTTGGGGTCAATCTCAAAAGATACCACCAGAGCAAATCAGGCGCTTGAAATTGTTTTATCAAAATGGTCCCGTAATACTAATACAAAGTAAAAATAATCATTATTATTTTTTTCTTTAATTTAAAGATACACACACATATATACTATTTACTGACATTTTAATATATATTTTTATAATATCTTTTAGAAAGATCAGTGATAACATCAATATAAATAACAATCTTGCAGGTTTTTATTTTATTCTACTTAAAGAGATCAAACCTTAATTAATCAATCAATAAAATCAATCAATCAATCAATCAGTTAATTCTTAACAATCATATATTACTAGGATTGTATTCAAACAATGATTTAAGATTTAAATCATCTCCATTTTATAACATTATTGAAAGATTATCACTACCAAAAATATGTTCTGGTAAATCTTTAAATAAATTATTATTATTAGATTTATTATTATGATTGATATCTAATTTACTTTCAAAAATAATACTTATTTTAAATTAATAGTTACAAGTTCTAATGAGATTGTTCTTTTGGATTTTGTTCTCAATTCTAATCAAGTTGGAAAATTAAAGTCAAGGTGAGTATTTACACTTGATTAATCACAACTTATTTCATTGCTTTAATTGATTAATTATATATTTATTCATTTATGATTAGTCCCAGATATAAGATAAACTTATTTTGTTGCTCTGCTGAACAAAATTTACAAAATATACAAAATGAATCATTGGTTGAATTCCCTGATTCTTGTGAAGTTAGAGTCAATCATAAAATGTCACCTTATGTAAATATCATAAATATTTATTTTTTTGTTTATATTATTAATTAATCGATTAATTTAATACATTAATTAATAAAATTAGAGAAAGAGCAGATCAGATGCACAACCCCCTCGAGACATCACAGATTTATGCAAAGTAACTTCAGCACATGTAAATCAAGTCCATTTTGGATTTGCAGCTACTTCAAAGGTAAATTTTGCCAATAGTAAATTATATTTATATTCAAATTATATTATGGTCTAATCATACTTGTGATATTATATTATTATTAGAAATACTTGATAATTGTATTGTTGATTAAAACTATCTTAGTTGAAGAAATTGTTGATAAGATTAAGAATGGAAAATACATTGAAAAAGAAGCTGTTTTAGAAAAAAGTAAATTCAATATTTCAATTGTTTTTAATAATGCATATCTTTTTTTGCTCATTATTAATAATAATTACTATTTATTCAACTATTGAAAAGTTAAAAAACAAATTCAAGATTCCGATGTAGTTGCAACCTCAAGTATTATCTCATTAAAAGATCCGGTAGAATTATTATTAATGTTTATTTTTTTTTTATTTTATTTTTTTTCAAAACAAACCTCCTAAATTAATATTGAATCTCTTATCATCATCATTATTATTATCAGTTGGGACAATGTAGAATAAGCATACCTTGTAGGTCAATTCATTGTAACCATATACAATGTTTTGATGCCCTTTTGTTTTTTAGAATGAATGAGCAACTTCCTACATGGACATGTCCAGTTTGTAACAAACCACTAAACTCTTGGGAGGAAATTGTGATTGATGGGTAATTAATATCAATCAATTAATTAATCAATTATTAAATTATAAAATATATAAATATTAATCTATTATTCTATTCATTAGCTATTTTAATGAAATTCTAGCAAAAACTACTGAAGATCAAGAAACAATTGTAATTGATTCAAATGGCAATTGGTCAGAATGTAAAAAAGCCTATAAACTTCACGATATTGATGAATCTGATGATACATTTAATAAACATTCTCCAAATAAAAAAAGAAAGATAGAAAATAATATTTTCATTGTAGATTCAAGTGATGGTGAAGGCGAGGAAAACAATTGTGGTGTTATAAATAAAAATAATTCAAATATGGAGAATGAATTAAATTTTATTGATCTAACACAAAATAGTGATGATGATGATGATGAAAAGGAAGAGAGCAATGTTAAAGATATTCAAACAATGGCTACTGAAATTGAAAAGGCTGCTGATGCTAAATCCATTAATATTAATCAAAATTTAATTAATAATATCATTAGAACTAATAGTACTTTAAATAATTTTAATAACACTATTACTGTGGATTGTAATGGTAGTGTCACTACTATGGATAATAATGGCCAGGTCACTATTGATCCAAATGGAAATTGTATTAGTTATAATTGTCAAGATATTCATAATTAATTAACTAAAATAACATTACAAATTATTTGATTTAGAATCATTTTTTATCAATTAAAAAAAGTTACACATGAAAAAACACAATGATTATATTAGAAGAGAATATTTTATTGGAACTAAAGAATAAATAATCATAATTAGATTAAATTAGTATATAAAAAATAATCAGTCAATAAACAAAGCCAATGCTATGAAAGGTTTATGTCTTTCAATAAAACATATAGTATCTTGCTAGATTGTTTAAATTTATAACTATAAATTATTCCAACAATAAATTTTTTATGAGTGACAATCCCTGCAAAACCTCAAATTTGGTCAGGGAGATCCTTCTCTAACCATATATTCCTAGAAATTCCCCCATACTAATTAATACCTTTAAAATTATTATACAGCACAGATTATCTGTACTCAAAAGTTAAAATTTTTGAAATATTATGTGATCCACACATTGGATTTTAAAAATCCACCACCATTCAATTCAGCTTTAAAAAGGAGTCTATTAATCTAAAAAAAAATTTGTCTTGAATTTTCTTTCTACATATGTAAACTCAATAAGTTGGTTTACTCGATAAGTTGGCCAAAATTTTCACCCCATTTTCTTAATATTTAATTGACAATCCGTGAATGAATGAGAGAATTTTTGTGTGATCGGTGGGGCAAAAATGTAAAAAAATCACCAATCAATAATGTTTA